CCACAGCATGGGTCCTATTGAGAGGATGGCAGTGGAGGGAGAGTGGGTTTTAGGATATGAGGGTGAACTGTGGCAGGGCAAGGATGAGAGGCCAGTCAACAATGTTCCTGATGTAGATTCTGAGAGCTTTAGCTTTCGTTCTGGAGCCTTGGGAGTATACCAGCAGGGAACTGTCTGAATGGTTTTGTATCCTCCAGTGAGCCCCCAGATACTTTATGGAGGGCCCATGGAGGGAGTGAGACCAGAGGAAATACAAAAGGTTAATGATGAGGCCTCCACAATGCCTTGAACAAGAAATAATAGGTGATAGGGGGAAATGGAGAGCAGGAGGAGGAGACAGAGGAAGCAGATTCCACAGAGCTTAGGGACTGCCTAGATACGGGGAGTGAGGCAGACAGGAAGTGATAATGCTCACCTTGCTAACTTGGGCAACTGCAGTCAAGGTCTTAGCAGATGAACCTTGTATTTGTATCATAGTTTTATTATTAAAAAGTGAAGAAAGATAAGTTACTAAGCTACATACAGAATAAAAATCCTTCTGTATGAATTTTCTTTTCTGCTTTACTGCTTACAATCATTTGCAATTTTAAAAAGTATCTGTCTTACTAACCCAATTCCATACCTTGCACTGACGAATATTTGACCCAATTATAATATGCAGTCACAGCCTCCTTACCAAATCACAGTCATGTGATACGAAGGGTATAGAAGGATTTTTATTCCGCATTTGGAGACAACATACCATTTCCTACTCTTCCTTCTTGAACCTAGAGTGTAGTTTTTTTTTGGTCCTTAGTCTATTGTTCAAACACTTCATTTTTTAAAATCCAAATTATTCTTTGTGCCCAGTCATCAATGACTCCCTTATGAATGTCTGTCTCTCTATCCCTTATCAATGCCTGTCTCTCTAATCTTACTTCTTTCTACCTTGACTCGAAGCAAGTTCTTCTACTTGTTGCCACCTGAATTGAACTAAGAATTCTTTTTCTTTGCCTATGCTATTGCATCAGAAAATTCACCAATTCTTTCAGCAAATAATTATTGACAATTTATATACAAGCTAAGAGAAGAATAAGCTAAAGTGCTAGCCTTCAAGGAGCTCATCATATAACATGTGTGGGACAAGGCAAAACCCCAAATAATACCCTCATTGCCTTGACATACAGTTGGGTGGGGCCCAGAAGTATAAATAAAGTCCACTGCTGTTTACCAGAAGGAGTGAATCACAGAAGCTTCATTTGAGGTGTCCTTAAAGTATTTCAACAGAGGCTTTTTCTACAGTTTCCAGAAGGGCAGGGACTGTGTCTATTTTAATCACTAGTGTATAACAGACTACTCTGCATCACACCAGTCACGTGGTAGCCATGGTGTCTGTGGGATGAGAGGCGTTTACGTGTTTACTCCTTAATTCTAGTGGAAGCTGCAGCATGAGCAAAGACATGCAGAGTGGAAAAGCAAAGGATACATAGGGAAGAAACCTCCTATTCTGCTGGAGCATGGGTATCTATGTTAAAAGGGTCAGATCAGCAAACTGGGTGGATGAATGCCCCAGAATAGAAGGCCTTGAGCAGCATCGACCTGGTGCACTGGGCAATGGAGAGATGTGGAATGGGGAGGGGCAGAAATCACAGGGATTTTCATCAGAGGTCTGCTGGCCTGTGAAGAATGTTCAGGGAGGAGAAACAAGAGACAGAAAACTGTTTACGTAAAAGCTAGGAGTTTCAGGAAAGGGGGGCATAAAGTAAGATGGTGCTGATGGAAATGGATTTTAAAAAGCAGATTGAGCCTGACTAGCAGGATGTGACCATGGACTGTGGGACGAGGGTGAGGGGCCCACAAATGAGAGCAACTGGGGTTCCATGAGGTTCTCATTTGCTTTTAAAAATTAGAATAGTTAGCAATATTGAAAGAACAAAACCCCAAAGTTTTTACATAAAAACCTGGATTTCTGGCTTCTTCCTAAAAGTCACAAGACCTGACGACACTGGACCTACAATTCTGTCAGCAACAAACAGCTGGTTCCGAGAGCTGCTGCCCCTCCTAGAGATGGGGGCATGCCTCCCTCTCCCTGCAGCCCCGCCCAGCCTGCTTCAACTCTTCCTGTGGCTTGTTGATACTTGGGGGCATTGAGGTTTTCAAGCCTGCCAGTGAAATCTGAGTTTCCAGCGTGGGAGCCAAGAGACATGGGCCACTCTCCAAACTGGGAAATTAGGAAGAGGAGCTCTTTTTAAGAAGATGCCCACCGTAGATCTAGAAATGCTGAGTTGGTCACCTTTGCATCCTTCATGATCCTGTTCATTGCACTCCAGTTTTCTTAGCTCTCTAAGCTTAGAGCAGAATTCAGTCTGTGGTTGCTATCTACTCTCGCAGGGTGAGCACAAAATACTTCAGCTTCTTACTTTGAGAAGAAGCGAGACTGAAAGTTGAAAAACTGTAGGAGACTTTTGTTAGACAACAGGGAAAAAACATATTTTGGCACTGGGGCATTAAGGCCAGTAGTGATTAAGGTCAGGCTTAGGAGCTGGAATGCTGGGATTTGAGTTCCATTTTATGTTCTTCCGTGGGATCTTTGGGCAGGACACTTAACCTTTTATCTCAAGTGTTTTCATGTTTATAAATCAGGGATGGGATTGTATCTGCCTTAGAAAGTTGTGAGTTAATAAATGCAGCGTTTAGAATAGGGCCTACATGGTGAAACTCCATCTCTACTAAAAACACAAAAATTTGTTTGTGTGGTGGTGAGCCCCAGCTACTTGGGAGGCTGAGGCAGGAGAATCGCTTGAACCAGGGAGGCAGAAACTGCAGTGAGATGGTGCCACTGCACTCCAGCCTGGTGACAGAGTGAGACTCTGTCTCAAAAAAAAGAAAAAAAAAAAAAGGAATAGGGCCTACCAGAGTAAGAGCTTTAAAAATGTTAGCTATGATTAGTAACATTATCAGAAAAAACAGCTTTCTGTAGCTAACTGTCACTAATTTCTAGCCCAAGACTGGCCTGTGTAGTATAGTGATATTCAGATTCTACTGGAATTTTCCTGCCCCTAAAATGTGCTTCTAGGTTTGTGGTATCCTCAGTGAAATCCTCAGTGCTTCCCTAAACCTGCCTCTTAATTTCATTTCTTTTTTAAAAAATTTAAAAAAATTGTGGCTACATAGTAGGTGTATATATTTGTGTGTATATAAGGTGTTTTGATACAGGCATGCGATGTGAAATAGTCACATCATGAAGAATGGGGCATATTTATCCCCTCAAGCATTTATCTTTTGTGTTACAAACAATACAATTACATTCTTATAGTTATTTTACAATGTACAATGAAGTTATTACTGACTATAGGTACAATTAGTACTGACGATAGTCACTATCAAACAATAGATCTCATTCATTTTTTCTATTTTTTCCAGTACCCATTCACCACCCTGACCTACCCCCCAACACCCCACACTACCCTTCCCTGCCTCTGGTAACCATCCTTCTACTCTCTATCTCCATGAATTCAACTGTTTTGATTTTCAGATCCCTCAAACAATGAAGAACCTGTGATGTTTGTCTTTCTGTGCCTGGCTTATTTCATGCAACATAATGATCTCCAGTTCCACCCGTGTTGTTGCAAATGACAGGATCTCATTCTTTTTTATGGCCGAATAGTGCTCCATCGTGTCAATGTATCATATTTTCTTTATCTATTCATCTGTTGCCTTAGAAAGTGCTGGCTAGGCACGGTGGCTCACGCCTGTAATCCCGGCACTTTGGGAGACCCAAGGTAGGCAGATTGTTTGAGCTCCAGAGTTCAAGACCAGCCTGAACAACATGGCGCATTCTTTCTCTACAAAAAATACACACACGCGAATTAGCTGGAAGCGCTGGCGCGTGCCTGTAGTCCTACCTACTCAGGAGGCTGAGGTGGAAGGTTAGCTTGTGCCCCAGAAATCAAGGCTGCAGTGAGCTGAGATCACGCTACTGCACTCTCTACTGTGGGTGACATAGTGACCCTGTCTTAAAAAAAAAAAAAAAAAAGCACAGGTAATTTCTATCGTCCTAAGCCTGGGCTACATTTGCCCTGGCCACAAGATATAGAAACACCCCTCTCCAATAAAGAGATTTTGAATTTGCATTTCAACCTATCCTCCAATCTTACAACTGCTTCCTTTGCCCCTTCCCCAGGGGTCTCTGTGGCTTTGAGCCCTAGGAGACTAAAGCCTGGTCCATTTCAGTTTTGTGTCAGAGTCACTAGTTATGCTATTCTACAGTATGCAATGCAGGGTAATGCTAATTCCACCTGTGATGAAGCTTGGGGTGCTAGACCCTGGAGCCTAAGATTGAAAACTCATTAATAACATTACATTAATAGACATGTTTGATCCTGGTGCTGCTACTACATAGCTGTGGCAAATTACTGGACCTTTCTGTGACCCTTTCCCCACCTTTGAAAGTAGAAATAATGCTACCTACTTGCATAGGGCTGTTGTGGAGACTGAATGAGTTAATTAGTGCATGTGATGTATTTCACTAAGTGCCGGTCAACGGCACAGCAAGAGTGAGGTAGAGAAAGTGGTTGGCCCCAGGTGCAGCACTAAGGGATGTATTGGTTGTAGAGAATTTATGACTAATCAAATTTACTAAAAAATTGATCTGCTGTGTATCACCACCATGCTCGGGCAATTCTAAACAGCATCAAAGATGTGATACCTAGTCCAGCTAGGGTGAACTGCTCCTACCACCTCCTCCCTTGGTATACCACTAGTGCCAGTAAGACAGTATGTTAGCAACAGTTAATGATTCACAACAAAAGATAACAAAAAGAAGAAAAACATGCAGGATGCTCAACAAATGCAACAATATGCACATGAAGATAATTTGTGCAAGTGTTTATCCCACAGCTGCTGAATAATTAAAGTTATCTTAAATGTATCCCCAAGCAACACAGAGTATTTCCTTGTAATGGCATCATTGAAGAGCACGCCTTTAGGTTATCACAGTCAATTTGCTGAAATGTTCTTACCGCTACTGATGAACAGATCTAGCAGCTGTTCCTTGGAAAAACCAGCATCTATTTCAGCTCTCACTATTTCACAGGAGAATCCTGCAGCCATTTGTCTGTGCTGTGATAAGAAAATTGGGTGATTAGTTCTACGCACTTGCCAATTTCAAAGAAAAGGAGATGGTAGACAAGTAACCAATACCTTCAGGCAGAGTGCAAGCTGATGTACTATGTAGTCTTGCAAGCTTCCTTCTGGGCCATGGAAAATGACATTATGATATTGCTCAACCTATTAACAAACCAAGAAGAGACCTAGGGTGAAGATGCTAAGTTGGGAAGAGAAAAAAAGTGGTACACAAGTGTGGAATCTTTTTTGATTGTCCTCGTACTTTCAAAAGATTAAAAACAATATTTTAGAGGTTAGTTTTTTTCACTGGACACGTGTACTCTCATTTAAATGTGAAACATGGGCAAAGGGTACTTAGCAAGAGCTGACACTTTATAAAAACACACATTTTTTTCCCTCTATTTTCTACAGCGAGGGTCAGCAAGGTAGCTGAGAAACAGAGTCCCAAGTTCATTTTGTCCCTTCCAGAAATTCTGTAACTTTTCCTGTATTATCCTTTGCAGATGTTCTTTATGTGGAATTTTGTCAATGCTTATTTAGCTTTTTAGTGGTTAAAATAGTGCATTTCATTATGGAAATTTTGGTAAATATAAAGAAGAATAAAAAATTACTGAGTGTCAGCACCCACAGTCACCGTAAATATTTTTGTTTCCTTCCAGTTTTTTCTTTGCATAGTGGCTGTGTGTGTGTGTGTGTGTGTGTGTGTGTGTGTATGTTTAAAAGATGGGTATGTGAGTGTAATCTTTTTATAGCTGTTATATATCAGAAAATGTCTTTGTGTTGACTTCTTAGGTAAAAGATGTTTACCTTCTTAGGTAAAACTCGGATCAACTTTATATATTATTCCATTCTGGAATTGAGTGTTTTAAAGAAATCTAGGTAGAGATGGATCACATTTGCTTTGTCAAAAAGAAATTCTCCTGCCTGGATGCTTATGGATATTTTTTTTAACCTTTATCCACGTGTATAAGGATACCTCGCCCGAGAACATGGAGATTCAGCAAGCACTTGGATGGAAAGACAATTATCATCTACACAGGGCAAAGGCAGCGATGTCTTGAAAAAAATGTGGAGAGGAAAGTTAGCCTCCCACTTCTGTCATTCGAGGGTGGACACCCCTGCCCCCGCCCAGCACACAGGCTTGGGGGACGCTTTCTTAATGGAAAGCAGGTCTTGCAGCAAGGTCTTGCAGGAAAGGACAGGTGAGGCTCCAACCTAACTGATACAACTGATATTGCTCGCATGTGAAGACTGAGCCACCCGGACTTAATGGGAGTTTTGAGTTTGCTCTCTCTATAATCTAGAACAGGACAATGTAAGAACGTGTGTGTACATCTCCGAGTTGTCTCTCTCATACTCTGATGAGGTTGTCCCTTTGAGATCACAGGAAAAGGCCCATCCTTTATGGTAGCTGGGATGGACTTCTGTGAAGACAGTAAATATGCTCCAGTCCATCATTACAGGGAGGCAGACTGTGGGATATAAAAGGAAGGCTTGAAGAAAAGTTCTTAGCATAAGAGATGAGGTAACTTTTTCCTTACCCGGGGCCTTTAAGACTTGAGTTTTGGGCCGGGCGTGGTGGCTCACGCCTTTTATCCCAGCACTTTGGGAGGCCAAGGAGGGCAGATCACTTGAGGTCAGGAGTTCGAGACTAGCCTGGCAAATATGGTGAAACCCCATCTCCACTAAAAATACAAAAATTAGCCAGGTGTGGTGGTAGGCGCCTGTAATACCAGCTACTTGGGAGGCTGAGGCAAGAGAATCGCTTGAAACTGGGAGGTAGAGGTTGCAGTGAGCCAAGATCATCCCACTGCACCCCAGCCTGGGCAATGGAGAGAGATTCTGTCTCAAGGAAAAAGAAAAAAAAAAAAAAAAAAAGACATGAGGTTTAGCCTGTAAGGAGACTAAGGAAAGTTGGTGAGCACTTCTGGGAAGTGGAGGAAAGCCAGGCATGACCACCAGGAGTCAGACCATGCGCTAAGGGGGCGGTGATCCTGTAAGGGTCTCCTTGATGTTGGGCTTGGGACTGGGTTTTAGGCTCTGAAAGACATCATGTCTGGTAGCCTCCAGTAATATTCTCTGAGTTGGAATACTATTCAATTATTAGTATGCCTTCAATAAAAGGCTTACGGTAAAGGTGCAGGCAAGGACCAAACCTGGAGCAGGAACTTCCCCAGAGGCACAGGAAAGAATACCCTAGAAAGTGCTGCTGAGGTTCTGCCTCTAGGCAGTAAGACAGTGGGGCCACAAGTCTGCAGGGGTACATTATTATTAAACAATAAATAATTATTGAAGAATAATACATTTCCATTTATACTTATGAGATGGGGAAGCCTGGGCGATATACAGATTGTACCTGTCATTAAAAAATATTGCCCAGATATGTCTAGTTATAGCCTCTTTCTCCCAATCTTAAATAGAACATGGTAAGTCCTTTTGATATGCATAGTCAGAACTTTTTTGGATTAGGAAATTTTCCCCCAGTTTTTTGGTAATTTCTCCTCTTCTAGTTCTCTTTATAATGAACACCTATAATGCTTAAGTTCTCTGTTTTCTGCGAGTATGTCATCTCACCTTATCGCCACAGCTCTGTCCTCTTTGCATTGAGAGAGCTCCTCAAGTTAGTCTTGCACAACACACAAAAGAATATTCATGATCTCACTTCTGTTCCCTACAGTCAAGTGCAACTTTATGCCATTGCATTTTCAATTGTTCTTATAGTTCCTTACCTCATCCATCTCCTAAACTTTTCCTTGTAATCTAAGCCCAGACTCTACTATGACTTCCTTGCTCTGCTTTCATAGTCTACCACCTTGCATTCTGTAGACTAAGAACATAATTTTCCCAACTTTTTCTGTTTTTCCTAGTTGCTGTGGTCAAAATGTTTGTGTTGCTTCCCCTGGTCCCAATTCATATGTTGAAATTCTAACCCCCAAGGTGATCGTATTAGGAGTTCGGGTTGTGAGGAGGGATTAGTGCCCTTATAAATGAGGCTAAGGGGAACCCCTTGCCCCTTCCACTACTTGAGGATTGAGTGAGAAGGTGCCATCTATGAACTAGGAAACAGGCCCTCACCAGACACTGAATCTGCTGGCACCCTGATCTTGAACTTTCCATACCCTGGACTGTGAGAAATACATTTCTGTTGTTTATAAGCCACCCAGTCTATGATATTTTGTTTCAGCAGCCTGAATGGACTAAGACACTAGCAAATAATTTCAAGGGTGTGTTCTTCCCTGAGTTTGCAGACTGAAAACTGATCTGCAGTATTCTTCCATAGGTATACGGTTATTTTGTTATTATTTGTTTAAGTGCTATGAAACCAGAGGAAGAATTTTGCAGGAAAACAGGATGTGTGGACCACCACTGGCTTCACTCACTGTCCACAAATTGGGTGGCTGAATCTCCTTTTTGGGTCAGTGGGTGGATGAGAACTTGGTGTCTGCAATTGCTGGTTAAACTCCTGGGTCTAGCAACGGCTGCAGTGGAATGAACTCCTGCTGTCCGACACCGCAGATAATGCATGAGGATAAACCACAGTCCCAGGAAGCGCCGCAGCCCAGCAGCTCCTGTCTCCATCCCTGCTGAGGGCTTATGGAGAATCCACCTCCTAGGCTGTAGCACAGTTTCACTAATCCCCATCAACTTTTTGTCCAGGTATTTCTAGGACCCGCAGTCTTCAGACGGATGTGGAAAGGCCTCCTGGCAGTGGAGGAGAATATCATAGTGCTGCAAAAAGCAGAGACTATGCAGTAAAGGATAAATGCCCAATTTTCTAACTGGTATATATATATATATATATATATATATTTTTTTTTTTTTTTAACCACCAGGAAGATGGTAGGGGAAGGATGATAATGATTTCCTGCCTAATTTCAGGTAGGCCTCACATAAGTGGGCCTAATACTCTATTACTCTTAACAAGAGTAGAAAATGCTTCCAGATTCTTGCTGAAGAGAGACCTCAGTTCTATTTTTCTGTGACTGTGAGGTTTTGCCAATTTTCAAAAGTACTTTAGTGGGAAATTGTGTATTAGGTACACAATTTGCTAGCCAGGTGCAATTTTAAACCAGAGCTTTTGAGCTTTCTAAATTAATCCCAAATTGCTATGATTTATTGGGTAGAATTTTTTTTCACAAGTCATGGATTGTTTCACACCAGTGAATCAGGATACCGAGTTTTAAGATTTACTGAAAATAAACAGGCTAAAGATTTTCAAGATTTACCCGAGATTTTTCAACTAGCGTGGCTATTTAATCTTGTCTCATTTCTGAAAACAAGAGTGCTCTATTCATTATGGCCACCCTGTCAAACAACTGCCTAGACTTTCTTAAGACTGATTTTGGAATCAAATAACATAAAGAAACCCAGTTTCATAAAGGAGCTGTCTTTAGTTTCAACACTTCATTTGTTCTCAGACTGTAGGTTTTTAGGAAACACATGCAGGAAACATTCAATTTCAAATTTCATTGAAAAGGCCATTCACTAGAAGTAAGCCCTTTGCATTTACATAGTCTAAAGTCCTTCACGGGATAAAGTAGAAATGTAAATAAATAAGTGAATTAGGTAGGTAAAGAGAAAAACAAATGGATATACTTCCAGATTATTCATACATTTTAATGCATGCATTTCATTAGTAGGTTTCTCTTCATTTCAGGTATTACCAATTTTTTGTAAATGGTATTCTGTTATCTCATCAAATGATATAGTCGCATTGGTTACCATTTAAATTCTGAACAACAACAACAATGCCTCAATTACTGGGAACCTGTTACTCTATCAGAACCGGGGCGAACATGCAAAGCTTTGCTAAGACATTACATATTGTTTTGAAGTTACATTATATTTCTCCAAATATCAAAATCTTGGGTATAATGAATATATATACTCCATGCTTCCAGCAGAGGGCTCTAAAGATAGATACACAGGCAGAGTTTTTGGGGAAAGAGGGGTATAAATATTCTAATTGTATTGAAAGGAGATCTGTTCTTTGAAAAAGATCAAACAAAACTTTTAAAATTACAGTTTTAATTGTAGTTACCAGAATTATCCCCTTAGTGCACATTTATAGTGTGACATTTCTGCTTATTGGTAAAGGGACACTGGCCTCATTATCACAATTGGTACCAATCCCTTTTATTCTTGTGTCTTCACAGACTATT